TAGATCTATTAAGCCAAGTCCTAGCTTTTGGCGTTAACTTCTTCATTGTATATAAAGAATCCTGCAATGGGCAAGTTTAGATTTTAAAGGTTCTGGAATTAGAGATTTTTATAACACCTGTAATGTATAGAACAACATTTTTGCAATACAAGAAAAATCATAGTAATTGTAGTTAATCAAGATGACTGTATGGTTACTCATGCTAAATAAGGTGTCTTATCTTACATTATAATAATATCCTGTAATTTGAATATAAAAAAATAATATAATCATATGTTAGCTGTAATTGTAATTACAGGACATTGTTATGATGAAGTAGATATAGTAGCCGTGATAGTCAAGATGATAACATTATTATGTAATTTGTGTATTGCCTGCCTGGTTTGTTTTTATTAGATATTTGCTTAAAATTTTAGTTCAAAATTGTTTTTTGTTTGTAATGTAAGCCATTGGTACTGAAATTATGTGCATATTGCACACTGTTTGATAACAATAAGACAAAATGTGTTTCAAGGAGGAAATTATGTAAGCCTAAATTGATCTCGACCAGAAACTCAAGTATGGGGCTCATACCCAGAATTGTCCATGTTGTATTATGTTTTGTGCACAACATGTAACCTACTGTAACTACAGATATATGACACATTGACAGTTTTCAAATTTTCACCATATTTCATAGGTTATGACACATTTTACACAGTGTGACGGACGTACAGTGACGGACGTACAGAAAAAATGTACGTCTGTCACATGGTTTTGCTAATTAGTGTAATTAATGGTAGGCTTCCAATTTGCTGTATACACTTGGTATACCTAGTATGCTTTATAACAGAGTTTTGGTAATTTCTTTGTACCTGGTTAGAAAAGGAAATAAACAAATGTCATTTTCTTGTGACGGACGTACATCCATATTTTCATTATTTTTAAATATTTAATTAAAAATATGGCGTTGATTACAAAAATTCAAAAAATTTCCCCAAATCACACAATACAATACTAATTCATTATTTTAATGAAAAGTGAATCAGATTCTGATATTTTGCAAGGAAAAAAATTGGAAATTAAAATTATAACTACATTTTCTTTAGTATTTCAAAATATTAATTAATTGTATTGAATTCCAATTATTTTCCATGTGGTAAGTGAATTCTTAATTTTTTTTTTTATTTCACAAAAATATAACTCATTAGCTTCATAATGATGTATCACACATACACATTTGATGTATTTGAATTTTTTACCATTTGGTTTACTAATTTACGGAATTGCCCTACATGTATACACCTTTATACGCCTGTAGTAGCCACTTGAATTCATTACTGTATCGACACAATCCATCTTCATGTATACCTTTATTCATTATTATGCAACCTTACCTTGTCTGTACATCACTGTAGACTGTTCCTCTAAATTGTCTTATATACTGTGTTGTGAATGTGTCATCCATTTTTTCATCATTTCAAAGAGAGACCCCTCTTTAAATTGTAAATTTTGTTAATATTTTGAAATCATTTTTTTTTTTCAATTTTATAATACAATCACTGTTAAACTTATATAAAAAAAATGGATGACACCTTAAACCCTTTTAAGCTATGAAAAGGCTATGTCTTTATTAACTCGGCGGTGATTTGCTAATATATATATTGCGTCTTCTAGGCTACTAACAGAGGAATTTTTTTTTTACTTCTACATTAGAAAACCCATGCTTGGACAGTCCCTGCCAGAACGGTGGAACTTGTAATACTAATGATGATTTCACTATAGTTTCATGCCTTTGTACTTCTGGGTATACAGGCTTTGATTGTGCCACATGTAAATACAGATTATATATATCTTTTCCATCCATCATCTTCTATTCATTCATTAATAAAGACTCTTTGCTCCATTTATTTTTATAGTTGTCGTCATTCTATTATCAACAAAATGCTATTCATGACTTGTGTTTGCGTTCAGTTAAATTTATCAGCCATGACATTCTTTTGTCTAAACTAGCAGTCACGAAGCTGGTAGTGTCGTTTACCTTTCAAATCTGTGTTCAATCTATAATTCTAATCCAAATATCTGTTAAAAATTACAAATTGTAATTGATTATTACATGTGCTTTAAAATAAATACTCATGTATGTTTCAATGAAATACTTACAGCACTTGTACAAAACAAGAAAGCAGAATTGAAAAAAAAATGTTATGACAAAATACCGAATTTACTAAACCACAAAATTATCCTTGAAAATAACCAAAGAAACAAAAAAAATCTGACTTAAAGCGGAGGTGTCTGGATTACCGCTCTGTTAACCAGCACTTTTGAATCATTCTTTTAACGCCCCAAATTGTCACTGTTGTAATTGTAGTATATTTAGTACAAACAATTCATCATAATACAGTGGTACCTTGTAGTGTTATTTTCATAATTGCAGGCTTAAGAAAACACTTGAATGTTTTCTTAAACTTTGATATTTATTATTGCTTTTTATAAAAAAATGAATTTGTTGATGGAGCGTAAAACCAAATTTGTGTGCATAAGTCTGGAATATATTACAAATCTTAACCATCTCGCCCAGTATTTGCTTATATGTTAATGCAGACTGTGTGTGGCTTGCTATCCCAACCAGTGTACTGTCCCTACATGTTTAACTGAGTAATCAGCATAAGATTTTGGCAGTATTGTCATAGTATTGTATACTTTAGTATACTGAGAAGCTGTTGTATTTCACTCATAACTTTGGCAATAGTTAGTCAATTCCAAATGACCTATCATTTTAAAGCTTCTAATGTAGAGAATATGAATATATTAAAAAGGTAAATTTTCATGTTTTTTAGTCACTGATGTTGGTTTTGGCATGGCAAGCCCCATATAGTAATTAAGATGTTCAGGCCCGTAACCAGGGGGTGGGGGGTTTGGACGAACCCCGCCGTTTGCTAGCTGGCTCCGCTTGGATGGCAAAAAAAAAAAAATCTCGAAAGAAGATTGCTTAAACTTAATAAAAAAAAAACAAAAAAAACAATGCTGTTCAAATAATCTTTATAGACAGTAGCAACTTTTAATACAAGTTTCAAGATGGAATTCTTATTTATGTGGTCAGCGCAATTCGTTGGTCGTTAACATCTTCAAAAGGCTCCACTTTTTCCAAATTTGAACCCCCCAAAAAAAATCCTAGTTACGGGCCTGATTCTCACTGTGCCTGGCTCAATATATGATTATGCTCAACTTTTCTGTGCACAACTAACATAAGCGCAGTGCAAAACTAACATTCATCTTATTGCTTAGCTGCACCGTGTACGAGCCAGCCCTGCATGAACGATGGCTTATGCACGATGGATGTAGATGTTACACTCTACACATGTTTCTGCCAGTCTTCTTACTTTGGAAAACAGTGCGAAATTCGTATGTTTATTTCAAAAAAACTTAATTGTATAAAAACTAGTTTTCTTGCGTAGTTAATAAATATAAACGAAATATTTATAAATAACTACAGTTCAGCAAAAAAAAATTTCTATGAATTATAATGAAAAATATATTTAATATAAATAAATTAAACCTAAAAATAAATGAATAATGCCACTAGTAAAGTGAGTATATTTTTATAAATCATAAATCCAAAATAAATTGTGGAAAATAAATAATGAATTATACTTCCAAATTATACTTTAAAATAGTAGTTTTTCCTATACATATAAAATTTATTAAAGTCAGACTCCGTGGGAGAGCAAATTTTTGATGTTGTTGAACTGATTTTTCTAAGACAGAAAGAAGTTGTTTGACGAAAAGCTGGGGAATGGTGACTGAGATACAGATTTTTGAAAATTTAAAAAACTGGGGGAAAAAGGTGTAAAAAAGGGGCGGATATGCCCCTTTTCCTCAGTTTTTAAATATTAAAAAATCTATCATTCACTGTTCCCCAGTTGTTTGTGAAACAACTTTTTTCTGTCTTAAAAAAATTATTTCTACAACCTTTAAAACATTTTTTTTTCCAGAGTGTGACTTTAATAATAAATATAAGATTTATACTTCCAAAATATATATTAAGTTATTAGTTTTGCTATTGCATCAATATGTATTATTAATAGTAATATTACATTATATTTCCAAAGTATATTAAAATTATAATAATTTAACCTTGCACTGTGCATAATAGTTCACTGTAATGTAAGCACTTATTTCTGACTAACATCATTTTTTCTGTTCCTTCTGCCTAGCTGATCCATGTCTTAGCAATCCATGTTTCAATAACGGCGTTTGCCTAACAAATACCGATGGGACGTACTTCACATGCATTTGCTCTAGCTTCTACATGGGTGAATTTTGTGAATATAGTAGGTTTCCTCTAAACTGCTTGAAATTTAAATTTAATTATTACCTTTATGGGTGTTTTTTTGGCATGTTTGCAATTTCGTACAAATTTCCCTCAAACATATTTCAAGTTATATATCAATCCTCTTTTCAAAGATGTATTGTCAGTGTTAATAAATAATATCATATAATATAATAATGATTTCTTAATTCAAACAGCTATAAAAGCTTTACACTTTGTGCTTTCTGTTAGCAACTCAATATTTGGTCAGCTTTCATAAGCCCCAAGAAATCATGTGGGGCGTTGTTGGTAGTGTTACCGAAACACAATATGAGCGATTAAAATTCAATAGGAAAATTGCTTTAAAGATTGGCCATTGTGTTCTCCTGTAGCCAAATTTACTGGCCTTATTTCGTGGAATAAAATGCTCCAAAAATTGACCCTCAAATGTACTGAAATACCTCCTTTAAACAAGAATAATGTGGCAATTAATGCGAGAGCTTGCTATAGAAGGGAACCCCAAGTAATTCCTCTTCATTGATGTGTTACCCATTTCGATTGACACTGAAGTCCAAAAAAATTATTTATTAAGAGTATACTGAAATCTGTGAATCAGTTTACATTTTAATGGAAGTTTATAAATTTATTTGTAAAAAAAATATGATTATTTAAGGTTTTGTCCATTTTTTAACACTGAAAATATATCTTTACATATTTTATATACATGTATGCAGTGTATTCAATGTTGGATGCTGTGGTTTTTAATAATATAAATTATGCATGAAACTGCTTTTTACTTCATATTTAAGATCAATAGAAATTTATTGATTTGTGAAATTATTGTTTCCTTGGTAACATTGCTTTATAAAAATCATTATGTTGCATGTAACTCACTTGAACACAATTGCTTTAGTATTATTTTTGTTATCATTATTAGCCATTCTTTGTTAGCGTGTCTAGCATGGTATTAGGGCTCCAAATCACACACAACTTACCTAGTTTAACCAGAAGAACAAAACTGAAATATTATTGTTGTACAAATATATAATATCACACAGAATCCACACCAGTGCTGCACTGTATAAATACAAATATATTTTATGCGCTATTGTTATTCTTATTATTGTTTTTATTTTATAGTATTTTTTTTAAAGAAATGTCTCTAATGTTCAATTTGATAATGTATATTATATGATAATATATAAACAACAAAATAAAAGGATCATATTTATATTTTTACTACTGTATCACTATATAACCATATTATCATTGTCATTTTGTTTAATTTAATAACATTGTGTTTTTTCTTTGTCATAACAAATAAATATATTATATTGCTAGTATCATCTAATATAGATCAGAATAATTGTTCTAATGAGGGTGTTGTATTTGTTTGTGTTTTATGTAATGTCTTCCACTCAAAAGCTTAAGGCCAAATAAAAAAATTACTAGTTTCTCGTCCCCTCGCTGATCCATTTCTCTGCCCCAATAATTTTTTTTGTTTTTAATTTCTTTTATTTGCTTTCAATGTGTCTAGTTGGTAAAATTGAGGAAGTAGTAGCTGTTTCCCATCCACCATCTTGGATTTTCCATCTCGGAGTAAAAAAAAAGAAGAAAAAAAAGTGCCCTTATTCTCCTTTTTTCAAAATATAAGGACGAGAAACTACTTTTTTTTATTACTTGGCCTATTGTAGATAAAACCAAAGAATGATTTTTTTTAAAGTACATTGTGTTCTTCATATTGATAGGGACCAATTTAAAATTAATGTTAGTATTAATATTCATATTGTTATTTATTGCTTATTTCCCTGGACATTCACCATCGGCAATGTGCTTCCTCCTCTTAATGACAGAACCATTCCTCTAATCTTCATCATGGAGACAATAGTTTCATTAATGTAGTATGCTCAGCCATTCACTCATAATGGCCTCCGTAAAGAATAACAGACTAGAAAACAGACATCGATCAAGGAATTACCGGACCATTGCTGGCAGCTGTCCTATTGTTTAGAAACACTCAAAAGTCAATAATGTATATTTATCAACTCAACTGAATAACCAAAGAAAGGCTTTGCTTAAAACAATACATCACTAAGGCACACTTTTTCCATACGTGTACAAATTGTAGTCTTTTTTTTAAAATTTGCTACCCCTGTACATATTAGGTAATGTAATCGATTGTATTCATTACATTTTTTAATGTAACTGGATGTAATTTGAAATTGGTACAAAATATATATATATATATATATATGTAGAAATCATATGAACTGCAATTTTTTTTTAAAGAGATCTTTACCAATTATTTTTTTTAATGATAATTTTTTTGAATTAATATTGAATCAGTGACAGTATTCATACCAAATATCATTCAAATATGATATATAAATATATGAATAAAAACAATGATTATAAATACAGTATTATTTTTAGTAGAGTGTCTTAAATAATCTTTTGTTTTTGTAACATTAATTATTGCTCATTAATCTAAATTAAAAAATGTCAATATTTAATACATATTTCATCTATTTAGTAAGAATATTTTATTTTGAGTCAAAATAAATCTTGGTGGTTCAGATATAATACTAATCGGTCAGTCAAATAGATAAATAAATAATTTTGATTAATTGTTAAAATTGTAAGAAATAAGATGGAAAATTATTTTACATGGCATATTTTCATATACACTATGTTTTTAATATTTTTCCTTCCATCATTTACTATCAACTAATAAAAATTGTCTTACCTTACTGTATTGATACTAACATGTTTATCTTCCCATCATGCTCTCTTTTGTACCCAGTGGGGGCGTGTTTGAGTGTTACATGTTTAAATGGTGGAACTTGTGTCGATTCTAGTGTGGAGACTGATGTCTTCCTCTGTCAGTGTGCTGATGGTTGGACAGGCCAATACTGTCAATCACGTAACGACCTTTGAACTTCTCTTTGACTACAACTTTGTATCATACTTATATCTATTGTACATTATTAATACCTCATGGTAAATCATATCTGTCTGTTTAATAAGTTATTGAATATCTTTTTTGTTCATTATGATCATTATTTTGCTGTTTTATTAATAAACTAATCTGTTAACCAATTAATGAATGAATGAATCGATCAACCAATCAATTAATCAAACAATCAATCAGCCAGTCAATCAATTAATCAAACAACCAATTATCAGTCAATCAACTAACAAATCAATCAATCAATCAACAAATGAATCCAATCAATCAATCAATCAATCAATCAATCAAACCAATGAATCAGTCAATCAATTAACAAATCAATCAATCAATCAATCAGTCAATCAATGAATCAATGAATCAATCAATCAACAAACAAATCAATCAATCAACCAACCATGCAGACATCATGAATTTGAAGGAGGTTGGTTCTTTTGCAATCTATACTGTCGAATGTTGAAAAGCTGTTTATTGTTTTATTCAGTTTAGTAACATTTTATATGCAAAAGTACAATTACATGAAAAATATTATATGGAATACTGGATCATTTTAAATATATTATTTATATTTTCTTTGATTTTATTAACTGTATCCTTTATCATGAATGTTTTCTTACTGTTTTGTGTATGTACTGCTTTGCATTACAGAGTTAGCCTGTGTCACTAACCCCTGTCAGAACCAGGGTATTTGTGTACCTTCTGCTGATTTAACCTCCTACACGTGCAATTGCCCAAGTGGTTATTATGGAAATAATTGCCAAGATCGTATGTTTGTTTCTGTTTATTGTCTTATCTTTATGATCAATTGATTAAAGTGTAATATAAACATATTTAAGTATTAATTTTAATTTGCATGAAACATACAAATGTGTGATATATTATTTAAAATTTCTGCATTTTATGGTTATAATGGTTATAAGTGAATAAATAATATAAACATTTATGTATTTATTTTAATTTTGCAGGAAACATGCAAATGTAATTTAAGAACTAGATAAATTTTACATTTATGATTATTTGAATTTACATTTATATTATTTGAATTTACATTTATAATTATTTGAAATAAATGTAAAATTTTACATTTATAATTATTTGAATTAATATAAACATATTTAGGAATTAGTTTTAAATTTTAAAGGATATATACAAATCAGCCTAGGTTCCAGGCCCTCAATTTAGGTTGCTCACTTTATATTGCACTTAGTGCAAGCCAAACCAAATGTAATTGGCATCCCATATGCAATTTCTTTTTTCTTTTTTAGGTATTCTGTCTAAATTAACTTACTTGGTGGTACTGTCTAGAATGAAAAAAAAAAAATAATTAGGGACATGTGGAAATCTATTCCATATGTTACCAATACAAAGTTAGAATCTAGAAAAATTTTGCAATTAGGCTTTCTTGCATCTTCTTGAATTGAATTAATATAATATATCAAAGTAAATATTATATATATATGACAACTGTATTTTCAGTACCTTCATTTTATTTTCTCATTTTTCTTCATAATTTTCACTAAATGCAATGTTCTCTTCAATTTTTATCAGTTATTTTATCAGTTCTCTCCACATCCTCCTTACACCAGCAATCTCCACCATAAAATGTAAAATGAAACTCAATGTTAAATGTGGATTTTGTATTTCATCAGCGGGTGTGTGTTTAACATCTTTTTGTCTTAACGGCGGTACGTGTGTCGAGGATTTAATTGACTACTCACGGTTTACGTGCACATGTCCCAGCACGTTCACAGGAATTCTCTGTCAAACACGTAATTTGATTTGATTTTTTTTTAGAACCCAGAACCAACATTTCAGAAAGCTTAGACAATACCACTCTTAGTTTGACAAAAAAATAATATAAAAATAAAATTGAATTCTGTCCTTCAAAACATGTAACTCTTAATTGTAAAATTGATTAACCATATTCTAAAAAATATTATGTTATAATTTTATTATCAATTTATGCCATATGATGGACATTTTCAGGCCAAGCTTATAATGTTTATACTATACTGTATTTTGATAATAATGGACCATTCCGGACTGTCAGTCAAACTTAATTGACCACTCAGAACAAGGTCAGGAATTCATGCGTGGGACCTTAGCAACAATATCCAAGTGGGCGGGGCTTAGCAGAAAGGTCCATTAAATTAATAATAGATTTTTAATATTAATATTATAGTAATTGTTTTCTATGTATTTTAATTAACAAAAGGACCAAATTGTATTTTAATATTAGCAGTTTCTTCTTTGGAAACCTGTAGACTGTTGGTATAACTTCTTAAAATTGACTTTCGAAAAATAAAAAAAAAAAATAAAAAAAAATTAAATTAAATTATGAATGAAATTTCACAGTAAGTTTTTGCTTGTCTTTCTGTAGGAGTAGTGTGTGAGCCAAACCCTTGTCAAAACAATGGAATTTGTAACCCATCGTCAGACCAAACATCCTATACCTGTGACTGTTCTTCAACAATTTATATTGGAAATAATTGTGAAATTAGTATGTTTACCTATGTCGTCTTTACTCAGTTGTTAATCTTAGCTCTGTCCTGATTATCAACTTTGAAAAAGAAGTGTTGTATGCCCTTATTTAGTCATTATGTGCCTATATATGATCATGATGTGATGTCGTCATGACCATATATAGGCATGTCACATGTTTTTGTAAAATTAAATTTGATAGTCTGGACACCTGTGTTACAGTATTTTGTGTTTGATGGAGTAACAGAGAATGGTGAGCCAGAATTATCTGCATTCATCCAAATGCTGTCTGTAAATGTTAATCATTCTGCTCCGTTTTTGGAAGTCACTTGGCTTCCTTACAGACAATTACAGCATGTTTACATTTTCAGCAGGATGATTAATACTGGCTCACAAAAATTCTTATTGTGTGGTACTGCCTATTTAATAGCCAGTACCACAAATTTACATATGAAATTAATATTATGCTGTTTATTGTGTTGAAAATATTCCGATACTTGCACTATTTGAAGTACTATTTTTGTTGAAACTATTCTGAAAATATAATTGTAAATTTGCTTGCAAGTAAAAGTGGAATTTTTGTTTTGCCGTATTAATGTAAATAATGTTCAGTTATATATTTTTTTTGTAGAAATAGACCAGTATTATCCATGTGCATTTTTGAATTGTAGACTGTATTTTTTTTAATCTTCTATGTCAAATGATATACATAAATTATAGTTTTTAGATATATATTGTGGCGTTATTAGGTTAAGTTGGTGCTGTATTGTGATGGGGTTGCCACTTTGAAGAGTGATTAAATTCACTGTTTGGCGTATCCTTGGCCCTAGTGCCTCAAGCTGAATAAAATGAGTACCATAATAATAATATGAAGCTTTTGCTTGCATGATGCGGTAGGACGTACTGTAGCACTTAATAATGATGTCAGTAAGAAGTCATTTGCACATGTGAGCAAGTTAAGTTCTCGTTGCGTGTATTCTAGGATGCAATTTGACCAAATTCATGTTGCGCAGAGAACGTAGGACTGTCACGTATGACTGAATCCGTTCTTATGTAGCGTCGTCAGCCAATTCGAAAGCTCCGTTTTAACATATTGGCTGAAAGTTGGTCCTGTGTTAGTTAAGAGCTGTCAGAACAAATGAAAATATCAAATGTTTGATTTATATTTCCTACCTAAATTGCCAGATGCATGCAATACAAAATATTTACGTTGGGTATGTATGCATGAGTGTACAGTCAGGGATGCATAACTCGTAGTTTCCAGTAATATGTTAAGCAAAGATCTTACAACAAAGACTGTACATTCTTCGATTTCTGCATGGATTATCTATAAAGACCAACTCGGACAGTGTCTGGCAACACAGCCCGACATGACTTTTTTCCATGTCAGGTCTGTTTAACCTGACATATGCAAACGCAATAGGCCATAAGACTGCATTGGGGATAGTCACATCTTACTATGACTTAATACTGGCCACGACAAATTATTTTGGGCTGTGTCGTACGATGCTGTCAAAATTGGCCTTTAAGCATAATGATTTACAGTACTTGGATTTACTCTTTATAGAGGGCGCAATTGAATGTTTTATTTTGATTTTTCAGTATTGTTTTATATGAAAGTATATTATTGATAAAATTACATTATCATTCCTGGTTTGAAGATGCATATTGGTGCTTACATTCATTTAATAATTTTTGATGATCTGTAGCTTTAGTATATATTCGCAGACAGTTTTGTAATCATAATTACAGTTTTAATATTTGATGCCAAGTGGAATATGTAAAAATAATACATGTGATCGACTCTGGCAAATTCAGGTGCTTGTCATCAAAAACTAAAGTCTTCAAATCAGCTAAAATTCTCATGTACTGGTGTTCACCATCTAATGCATTTTGGACTGAAAATATAAATTATCATATCTTTTTTATTTGTTATCATTTTTTAACAATTTTTGGCATCAGTTTTTTTTTTTAGTTTTGACCTCTACTAGAGGTTCTAATAATGCCATTTTTCATTTTACGATACAAGAGCCTGTTTTTTGTTGTCACATTTATTTTGATAGAAACTGAAATTTCTTAGTCCTAAAATTATTTCATGTTTTTAGAATGTTTATTTATATATTTTATTTGGGGGGAGAATGGTACAAACCGAATTAGGATAAAACTATTTGATATTTATTTTCTACAGCTAATTTGTGTGCAGTCGAACCTTGTGAAAACGGTAACTGTCAGGTTTTGGGCAACACCCAATTTAATTGTATTTGCTGGTCTGGTTGGAGAGGTAATCTGTGTGCTGAACGTACGTATATCATCTCTTATCTTTTGCCGCTTAGCGCAAATGTCACTGCGAAAAATTTTCTATGAGCCTGTTTCTGCCACTGCAGAAACACTGTATTTTTGTTTTAGCAGAAATGGGGCTCATAAGAATATACTGTATTTATATACCATATTTTTCCCCTCTATTTTTGTGGAATTTTATTCCGGTATTTGCAACAGAATGCTGTATTTTTCATACCCCATTTCTGCTGCCTGTAAAAAGACTATTTTGTATGACCCCTGACATAAGGTCAAGAGCCAACAGAGCATGACACGGGTTGTGTTTTTTAATTTTCTGTCCGCTTGTTCATTAATTATACACGTGGAAAAGCGAAAGTGCGAAATGTTCTACTGAACATATAAGGATAGTTACGATTCAACTGAAGGGGGAAGCCCATACTAAATCATTTCTAGGCTGTAGCAGAAGTTGGGGTATAAAACTTCCTTTGTTGCGACTTTTAAATAGATGAAACCAAAATTACAACATTCTTTAAAGAAACCATGTTTATCGAGAAGAAAGCTCCTACACAGGTCAATCCAAACTTCCCTCTGACGAAAGGCATTTTAGGTAAGAAAGAGGACACTACCACCCATGAAGTACTTTTAGCAGAAACGGGACACTGCCATTTTAAATACCGTATTTTATACAGTATATGTTATACTTTATTTTGAGGAGAAGCAGCAGAAACAGGCCCTATATTGATGATGATGATCCTCATCTTTTAAGAGTCTATATTCCCTGAATACCAAGGTTAGATTGTGGAAAGGTTGCATGTTTAACTGTAAGGTGGGGTATACACTGCGAGACCTAGTGTTGTAATCGGCAGCTACTTCTGGATTGATGTTCAATCTTCAGAGGGTCCCCCCACTACAATATCTCGCCATGACTTAAGTGGACGAGGTCCGTCACCATCAAATCTGTGATGAGCCTTGGCCTGTGTCAACCTCACTGGTGGCCAAAGATGACTGTACCACTTGCGGTTACTGTGGCATAACACATTTGCAATTGAATGAATGTTTGAATGGTTGAGAAATGCAGTGGCGGATTAAAAAAATATGGAGAATGTAAAGAAAAATATATTCCAATTTTAAGTCTGAGAGTGCAATTTCTGGCCATCTAGAGGTGTCATAATCACAAATTTTCTTACCTCAAAATCTTTTTCCTAAACAGCGAATTTTTATTTAATTTTTTCCCTCTGATAAGAAAGTTTAGTTAAACAAGGTTTGCAACTTTTAAATAGATGAAACCAAAATTACAACATTCTTTAAAGAAACCATGTTTATCGACAATCCAAACTTCCCTCTGACGAAAGGCATTTTAGGTAAGAAAGAGGACACGACCACCCATGAAGTACTTTTAGCAGAAACGGGACACTGCCATTTTAAATACCGTATTTTATACAGTATATGTTATACTTTATTTTGAGGATAAGCAGCAGACAACAGGCCCTATATTGATGATGATGATCCTCATCTTTTAAGAGTCTATTTTCCCTGAATGCCAGGGTTAGATTGTGGAAAGGTTGCATGTTTAACTGTAAGGTGGGGTATACACTGCGAGACCTAGTGTTGTAATCGGCAGCTACTTCTGGATTGATGTTCAATCTTCAGAGGGTCCCCCCACTACAATATCTCGCCATGACTTAAGTGGACGAGGTCCGTCACCATCAAATCTGTGATGAGCCTTGGCCTGTGTCAACCTCACTGGTGGCCAAAGATGACTGTACCACTTGCGGTTACTGTGGCATAACACATTTGCAATTGAATGAATGTTTGAATGGTTGAGAAATGCAGTGGCGGATTAAAAAAATATGGAGAATGTAAAGAAAAATATATTCCAATTTTAAGTCTGAGAGTGCAATTTCTGGCCATCTAGAGGTGTCATAATCACAAATTTTCTTACCTCAAAATCTTTTTCCTAAACAGCGAATTTTTATTTAATTTTTTCCCTCTGATAAGAAAGTTTAGTTAAACAAGGTAGAGAAGTTATTCATCATATATATTGAGATTTAAAAAACTTTTTCTAATATTGTAATATAGTATTTTATTGATTGCTTCAACCACTTGTCTTTATATGTAGGTGATTATTGCTCTGAGGTTCCAGCTGTGTGTCAAAATGGAGGAACGTGTGCTGTGAGCGGCTCCTCGTACGTGTGTTTTTGTCTGGACACATTCACTGGCACCAACTGCGAGATTGGTAAGTTTTTAAGGTTCTATTCGCACTATAAAATTTTATGTATGATGATGTCATACTGTAAAACCTCGAATAGAAGCCCAGTGGGCTTATTCTAGAGACGAAGCACATCTGGAATTGAAGCCCCTCACTTTAGTTTGCAAAAGTAGCCTCAAAAAGAAGCCTATCTCGAAAGTAGCCCATAGGCTTCTTTTCAAGATAGCATAGGCTTTTTTTCAAAATAGTACAGTACAAACCATGTACATGAATTTTAAAGAAACGAAATAAACTTGGTTTATACAGTAATTAATGCTTAAAGTAATTAATGCTGGTTAATACACGCCATGATACAGATTGATGTTACAGTGCCCCTATTTATTGTTTTATAGTAGTAATTTCCAAAATTTACAGCATTCATTTTGAAAAGCTTCCACTCTTTACTTTGCAAAAGTAGCCTCGAAATGAAACCCATTTCGAAAAGAAGCCCATCCAAATTTCACAAAAAAAAGAAGCCCAGGGCTTCAATTCGAGGTTTTACAGTATTCCACCCAATTATTGGCCGTATTTGGCATATCACAGGGGTTTATCATATAAAGGAAGAATATTTCTATATTATTTCATGTTGTTTGTGATATTTAGCTGTGGAAAGGTTTGTCCAGGCTATTCAATTTTATTTGACAAAAACATGTGACATGACTAAATATGGCATGATGACATCACATCATGACCATATATAGGCACATGATGAATATATATGGGTACAGAGCAGTTTTTTTTCAAAGAAAATTTGATCTGTACACAGCTTAAAAGGTTTGGATGCACCTTTTAGAGGCAATGCTACTGATAAATTTTTCAATAGATTATTATTTATAATAAATATACTGTATATGGTGAAGTATTAACACGTTGACTGCCAGACCTTTTTTAAGGTTCCTTCCCATGTGCCAAAACAAGTTTACATGTACAAACATACTTTTTTAAAACTTTTATCTAGTCATATATCATCAAAATGATGTGACTGGCGGGAAAATATTAGGGGGCGAGTATACTCGTCGTACTACTGGCAACAAACGTTATCGTCTAGGTGTCTTCACCGAACTACCAGATGTTGAGACTGTGGTTCTATTATGTATAACAAAGAAGCTAAAAACGCTATAATGTTACCCCGATTTCGACCCTGGCACCCTCAGCAACACCCAGTGGACGAGTATACTCGTCGCTGGCAGCCAACATGTTAAAGTTCATTATTGTACAAGTGAAATATTTTTTGTTGTTTTTGAAAGCGAAATATTTTGTTTTACAATTACAATAAAAAGCATGTTTGTTTAATTTTTGTTTACAGAAGTCTTGCCATGTGACAGCAACCCTTGCCAGAATGGCGCGACTTGTTTAGACCTTATAATGATGGACACTACTTATCAATACTTATGTATGTGTCCAACCGGATGGACTGGTGTCAACTGTGCAACACGTAAGGGATGGATATTAGTTAATTTGTAGAATGTTAAATATAAGAGCATTTAAGCTGTAACATTATTATTAATATAATATAATATACACTATATGTTTATTTTAATAATATCCTGTTGGGGAGAGCTGTCACCCGCTTCCCACCCTGATTTTGGGGAGGAAAAACTCTGGGAAAAAAATATCTATGTAAATTGAAATCAATAAAATAAGCCTTTTTAAATCTAAATATTGTCAGAGTTTTGAGGAGTCCTTGCTTGTCCTGGCCCTGTCCACTTTTGCTATCCTCTTGAAAATCAGCCATGGTACCCCCCTTTTCGGTCATAACCTATAACCTCCACAGCACACTGTTACGGTTTTTAAACCTATCATCTCAAAAATGTTATGTTTCTACTCCTATAGTGTCTTTGGCTTGTCTTAGTCAACCATGCTTAAATAATGGGGTATGCGAGGAAGTTTCAGCAACGAACTCATACATGTGCGTATGCAGTGCCATGTGGCGCGGCCTACAGTGTGCCACACGTAAGTGATCTCATTCCTTCTTGACATTCAACTACCAACAATGCAGATTGAGCGGGATGTTATTTAGAATGATCCGTTGTGCACACCTTCTCGCATTGTTCTCTCCATGGAATAGCATCGCCCAACGTCCATCGGTGTAGTGTGTGCGTGGCTAAAGTAAAAATTATAGTTGGGCTGACGTACTGTAGGTGTGGAGTTTCAAGTACCAGTATACCCCATTTATTGTCATTTGTCTCATGGAAGGCAGTATCGATTGGTATCACCAGAAAGAGTAAGACAAAATTAGATGTGCTAAGACAGATTGTTTAAACAGATCTCCCAGAAGTGACTTTTTTTCCAATTTTGGACCCCCTGGTGATATCTCAAGGGACGTAAAAAAGGATCCCTGTCTGAGGGAATTGTTAGATATATTTAGCTTGCCATGCCAATACCAGTATCAGTGAAAAAACAAGAAAATGACTATTTAATATATTCATATTCTGCGTATTATAAGCTTTGAAATGATTTTTTTATTTACTGGTTATTTACTTTTTGCCAAAGTTACGAGTAAAAGCCTTCTTTGCATTAAAGTATACAATATTACCACATACTTTCTTCTAATTTCTCAGCGTAAAATATCGTGTCAGTACGCCATGCTATTGGCATGGCAAGTCTCATATTGGTATATTATAAATATTTGACGAATATTATTTTTAACAGGTGTTCTGCCGTGTGAGAGCAATCCTTGTCAGAATGGAGGAACCTGCACTGATGTCGTCAGTGGCACTGCGTTCGCTTACATATGCTTTTGTCGGAATAATTGGCAAGGAGATAATTGCGAGAACCGTAAGTGCCTCATGTATCAAGAATGATGATTGCACTTGTCGGGCTAATAATGAACTTGAATTAAATCATCCAGTCCAATCCAAACTTAAGCCCAGTACAGACTATCAAAATTTATTTGAGAGAAACATGTGACATGCCTAAATATGGTAATGATGACATCACATCATGAACATATATAGGCAGATCACGACTATATATGGGCATACAACAGTTCAGAAATATATAATTTATAAGAGTGTACCTACCATAGGAATGGTACTTCAGTACTCTGTATTCAGGAAACCTGCAAATGGGTGAGGGGTTGTGAGCAATGTAAGTCGTAAGACCTGAAGGCGGTTCACTTTTTAATACTTGCATTTCAGCCCACTAGCTAAAACACAAGGAAAGTGGTGGATGGAATTCAACTGTGTACCAAAGAATCTCCATAGTTCAGTGCACACACACAGTGGCTACCACCAGTTTAGCCGACATTGCTTAATTTTTCGATCACATCACGAACTAACACAATCAAATTAGATTGTGTTAGTACGTGAAACCACAGTAGGGCGTCAAAACGAGTGCGTATTGGTTGTCAGGCACTTTCATATTTCTTAACACACAAAAAGTCTGTAACAACAACTGCACGTATTTTGACGCGCTTTTGTGATTTCACGAACTAACACAATCTAATTTGATTGTATTAGTTCGTGATGTGAGTGACGAATCACAGTCAAATATTGTGTGAATTTCCAATTGGCGTGATTTGATATACCATTATTAACTCCTGCCTGTACTATAGTTTCTTCCCATGTATGTTTTTAATCCTTCATGTTTCTGCCGCAGGTAATAACCCGTGCACTAGCAGTCCGTGCTTAAACGGTGGCACGTGTTCCAGTACGTATGATGATGCTGTGGACATATCCTTCTACACATGTGCATGTTTGCAAGCATATACCGGTACAGTGTGCGAGACATGTAAGTATCTCAACTATTTATGTATTATTCATGATGCAGATGTATAATAGCGATAACATGAATACTGCCCTCTTTTTTTCATTATATAGTTGATTTTTGTGCTGTGTTGCCTTGTTCCAATGGCGGCACTTGTTCTTATACGCTTGGTAGTTCCAAAGTATCATGTGTCTGTACACCTGAATGGATGGATTCTATTTGTCAGACACGTACAAGGGCTGTATGTCTTCACTACTACTTACTCTTTTCTTTTTCGCAAATTTCATTCTAATTTTATTTTATATTTTTATATCGTTGTCTTTTGTCATCATCTTTGAACCCATTGTAACAAAATAATTTCATTTTAACCTCTTGATTATTATAACCAATAATTTCAGTTGTTTTGAACTACTATATTCTACTTTCCTTTGTAATCTCATTAATTTTCTGCCATTGTAATTTTGTTTTTATTAGAATTGACATATTTTAACAAGAAATTCATTTAATTATAATTTTAATTAAACAAACCGTATTATTAAGTAATAACAGTTAATAATCTGTCTAATATGTATACACATTTATGTTATGTTGTTGTTTTTTTTGCATAATGTTTTTTCTTTGTGATTGTATCATAAGTGTGGTCTTTCACCAAATTAATTTCTTTTGAATTTAACTGATTAATATAACCAAAGGTTGATTCATAATCAGTGTCATTTTTATAATAATAATAATAATAATATGTCGTTCTTATATAGCGCTTCATGCCTTTACAAGGCCTCTAAGCGCTTCACATTACTACCCCGGTCATTGGATCAAACACATATGGAACACATTGAACACCAAATTAAATTAGTAAATGTATCATTCCATAATATTGCAGCTAGTAATCAGCGCAGGTTGTGTTGGAACCTACCAGGTACCCACTTGTACTCCTGGGTGGAGAGAGGCAACCGTAGATAAAGTGCCTTGCCCAAGGACACAAGCAATTTGCACAGCCAGAGTTCCGAACCCCCGACCTCAAGGTTGGGAGTCCAAGCCACAACCGGTGCGCCAACCGCTCCTATATTTATGCATTGTCATCACTATCCTATTTACACGAGCAGTGTGTCCAACAACATATGTAGTGCCCGCGATTGGTATTGTACTTATATAATAATATACTAATACCATTTAATGAATCTAATATCTTCGTATAATCTTGTGTTTTTTTTGTTTTTTTTCTTGTGATTGTCATTCTTTACAGCTGTGATGCCATGTACTGTAAATGATCCATGTTTAAATGGAGGAACTTGCGTGAATTCCGTTGATCCTGATACTGGATTAAACACAGCTGAATGCCAATGTGCAATACCGTGGGGCGGACCTACTTGTGCACAGGGTAATTTAATAAAGCAGAAAAAAAAGCAATCAAAAATTATAATCAAACAAATTGAGCCCTAGGAAATTTGTCTAAAACCTTTTTGTTCATTATAAAATAATGTTGGCCTGCCGATAGAATTTGACATAATATAGTACGAAACAAATATTATACAAGTCATTATTACTTGCATGACCTTTCATAACTTTCTCCAAAGTTTGTCTCATCTCTCTTAATATTTAAATGATATGTTAAATAGATTTTTAAACCATAATTTAAATTTAGCAAAATTTATCCAATTGGAAGTAAATCAGATCATTTTTGACATTTCTAATTTCAATTTACATCAACTTCTAAAAACTGGGCAACCATGAGCAATGGCGGATTCAAGGGGGAGGCCTCCTTTCACCTAAATTTGTCAAAGTTATAAAAAAAATAAGAGAAAAATAGAAAATTATATTTAAAGTCTGAGAGTGGCATTTCCGGCCATCTAGATGTGCCATAATCATAAATATTCTTACCTCAGCCCCAACCATGGTGGGACTGATGTGGTATTGACAATCCATCTGTGAAAACCCTACACTAGGCCGCCTCTATTTCGAATTCCTGGATCCGCCACTTCATGGAAATTATCTGGCACTTATGGAAATGAATAATTTTTTTTTTATCTTGTTTATCCTAATGATGCCATTACTAATGATGAGATGCAGCCATAATATAAATGCTATTTATAAACTGGCTGAAACATAGCACAATCCAAGTGCAAGCTAGGGTATCTAGGCATGGCCAGCATATCGCTCGAACTCATGACCACAAGGTTTAGAACCTGAATATAAATCGCTGCATGAAACCGGCTGACCTGTAATGTTTGACTTTTATGTGTTATTTCTTTGTTTATACAGTTGATTATTGTATTTTGTCCCCTTGCTCCAATAACGGCACTTGTTCTTCAACCCTTGGTAGTGTGGATGTATCATGTGTGTGTACACCTGAATGGATGGGTTCTAAATGTCAGACACGTATGTCTTCACTTCTACTTACTCTTTTCTTTTTCCCAAATTTCAATGTATCACATTTATTTTTCCAAAAAAAAAATTGATATTGTAGACAGTTTACTTTTATTTAAGGGAGGATTTGAAATCTCATTGAAATGATAGAAAATACAAATATTTAAAAATATTTGAGAAATTAGCCTTTACAATTTTGGGCATTTCTTAGGCAGAAACCATCACCAAATCATTAAAAATTATTGTTGTAACATTGGAAATGGGAAAAATAACATCATAGCATGATATGATATATTTTCAAGGTTGCAAAGCCTATTTAATATAATGTTACCAAAATAATGTCATTTTAACCTGTTCATTGGTTTTGAACTTATTCTACCTTCTTTTTTAATCTCAATAATTTTCTGCCATTGTGGTTTTGTTTTAATTGGAATTAACATATTTTGACAAGAAATTCATTAATTATAACAGTAAACAATATTATTATTATTAGTAATAATAGTTAATAATCTATCTAATATATATATTTATTGTGTTGTTTTTGTTGCATAATTTGTTTTTCTTTAAGATTGTATCATAATTGTGATCTTTAACCAAATTAATTTCTTTTAAATTTTACTGAATTATATAGCTAAACTTTGACTCGTAATTTTTTAGCAAAAAGTTTTTAAGCGCTGTCCTCATTATCATAATTCTTTATATGAGCAATGCGTCCAACAATGTGCGTACTGCCCGCGATTGGTACTGTACTAATATTATCGTTTAATGAATCTAATATCTTGGTTTAATCTTGTTTTTTTTTTTTTTTTTCTTGTGATTGTCATTCTTTACAGCTGTGATGCCATGTACTGTAAATGATCCATGTTTAAATGGAGGAACTTGTGAGAATTCCGTTGATCCTGATACTGGGCTATACATAGCTGAATGCCAATGTTCATCACCATGGGGCGGACCTACTTGTGCACTGGGTAATTTAATAAAGCAGAAATTATAGGAAAAAAAAACATACAAAATAAAAAAAAAATTGAAAAATAAAAAATTGTCTGAACCTTCTTGGTTTGTCTTGTCTCTCTGGTTAAATGTGACCAGCTCAGGCAAAGCCCTACACTTGTCGCAATTTCAAA